ATACCCTAATGCTACGTTCACACCAAACGCGTTTTGAGCGGCCAAAAAGCGCAAAACGTCTCTCACTGGACGCTCTATGTTCAGACTGAACGCACACACACACACACACACACACACACACACACCTTATGTATTATCGAAATTATCGAAATGGGCGAGACAGAAGCGCAAGTTGGTTCTTAAAGAGACAGAGGTCAATTTCAAGGCGTTTAGAAGAGGAAGTGATGAGAAGATAAGTTTATTTTCTATTTAAACAAAAAAACAGCATTTTAATAACAACTAAAGGTGACATACTGTAGATACTTTATTATGGTATAGTATTTAAATATATGCCTGAGAAACACATAATATTGGCCCTTTAAAAGTTTCCATAAATGCATCAACCATGCAGCACCGGAGCCGTTACATGTTTGCTGAGAGACAGAGCAGCACTGGAAGAGGCACCAACCATGACAGTAAAACAGCATTTTACAGGACAACCTTTGGACAGCCTTCTGTCAGGAGCTTTAACCTTTGGAACTCCTCCCCCTCTGAGTTTAAGGTCATAACTGATGTTAAAATATTCACTTCGAAGCTTAAGATTTGGCCAAAGATTAACCAGAATTGTTCCCATTTTTAAATATTGTAATTGTTTGTAATCCTTCGGTAGTTTTAAATACGTTATTTATTCTTTTTAAACATTTTATTGCATGTACTGTTGATCTTAACTTTTCATTTAAACAAACTGTTAAACGTCCTTCTAGGGACAGCTGTTGTGAATTAGCTATGGCTGTACACTGTGATGCAGGCATCACAGTGTTCTAGAGTCAAACAGAGACACACATTATCTGAGACATAAATATTCATCTTCAATATTATTATAGCATTATTACGGTTTTATTCTAAGAATCTGATTGGATAAAATGTTCACTTTGGTTCTCTTTATTGGTTAAAGAAGCATCAGTTTAAATTCAGTAGCCTGTGGACCCCTGACAGTCATCACTACAACAAGGAAACAATGGAGGTCTCTGTGACACTATCTGCAAAGCAAAAGCACTGCTCCTCCGTTAATAGAAATGAGACCTTCCTCCTCTTRTTCTTCCTCTATCAACTAAAAATAATCATCCACTCTGACAACCTGAGTGATGGTTCTGGTCTGTGACGTGCTGRGGTGTGAGCTTTCCTTTCACTATGAACAGTCAACACACAAAGGACCCAGGTCGTGGGGCCACCTTCTACTGGGTTGGTGCCAAACGTTCGTTTTGTGGCTGTACTGTGAAAATATATACATTTATCTGAAACGTCTCACTAAAATGAGTCCAGTGGTTTATGAGATATTTTACTGACAGACATTGGGCCTCATGCAAGAACCGTTCGTACGCACAGATTTGTTCTTAAGTTGTGC